CATGCGGGCCCAGTCGACGCACAAAGGCTTGCCCTGGAACTCCTCCCCGGCTCTCTTGACGGCCTTGGGCTGGTGAGGCGCAACCAACCCTACCTGCACTGATAGCATCTTCCCCCATCCAATGCCTCCGCATCGTGCTCACTTGCTCGCTCTATCTCCTCATCCCCCGCTCCTGCCCCTCACGATGCTGCATAGAACAAATACGTAGGCTCGAAAAGTGTTGAGCGTGACTGGTGACTACAGTCAAGCGATCGCAATCGCTGGTACAATGAAAAATGCCTTCCAAACCACGAAATTAGCGAATATCTAGGCTGCACCCAAATTGCACATCAGTGGCTGGCCCCGTAGACGGCACCAAACCTGCTAACGATGCGCAGACTTTCCAGCATACGATAGTTCGGCTTAGCTCAAAGACATCCTAACAGAACAATGACGTGGGCGGCGACTCCCATCGGAACACGATGCCACGGTGTTGAGCTGGTGCGATAGTGCTGACCCAATGAACATAGAGTTCATGTTAAGCTAAGCCGAGCTGGGCGGAGCTGAGCCAGGCACGGCGTAGCTAGCTCAGCTAACTCGAAATCAAACCTTGGGGGATGAAGAGCATGACCGAATGTCACCAAAGCACAGCATCACAGCACAAAACTACAGAACTTTACCAAATGGGACATCGGGAACCGAGCAACATCACACAACACGGAGGCACAGTACGGCACAGCACTTTCCAACCGATTCTGGGCCACCAGGTCCAACTTGGAGGCCACATTCATGGCTGTCGTGGGCGCAGCCCACGCTGCTTTCGACAACTGGTTCTGCAGGAGTCGGCGCTCGGCTTCCACATCGAGGCGGGGGCGAGCCTTGTCGAGGTCCTCAGAGCTTGGGAAAGTCACGTGCGCGAAGTAGCCGCGCACGCAACGGTCGCTGATGACCACCTGGGCGGTGTGCGCACCGCGCACCGCGACGGGAGAGCAGCGCTCTTCACGAAAATGGGCCACGTGCGACACAAACGAGGGACGTCATGCACGCGCAAGGCAATTGTGATGACAAACTCTGAGTGTGACGAAACAGTGTGGCACTGCGAAATCGAACTAAGCCATATGAAGGACAAATGAGGCCAAACAACAACCTCGACCACGGCCATCAGAAGAAACATGCTGCACTGTGACAGGTCTCTGACTTGTTTTGAACTATACTGACCTGTTGTTATGGACGTTGCTGCACGCTGCTTGGTTCGATGTGATGTACCGATGCGCTAGATTAAATCGCCATGCGTTGCCCTGCAGCACAGCACAACACGGCGCAAACCATCGACCCACGTTTGGCTTGCATTGCTTTGCTTGCGTTGCTGAAATGTCGAGCTGCGTTGCTAAAGCATGCGTTGCAACGCAGCGAAATGCATTGCAAAATCGCAATCGCATCGATTTGTGTATTGCGTTGAATTGAACTGCATACGTTTGCTGCGTGTAACGGAAATTCGTGGCGCCCCGCACGTACTGCTTGCAGTGGGTCACAGGCCAACAGCATACCGAATCGAAGCAACGCGAAGCGAAGCAACGCAAAAGAATACATTCATAAGTTCCGCACCACTCCCGACAACGCAAAACAAAGCCGCGCTGCCGAAGCAAATCATCGCAACATCACGCTGGGAAATACCAAGTTAACGTGGAGCAAGTGGCAACGTCAACAGTTCAATCCTAGACGACTGGCGACATGACAGGACACGCGAGCCGTCGTGAAAGTTACACGGGGGGCATACGAGTGGCACGGCCCATAGGTCCGATATGGTGCATTCTCGAAAGATATGACGTGGGGCGCAAAGACAGACTTGACGAAGACGACGACGACGACGACCTGGAAGGAAGGAGATCAAGAAAGCAGAAGGACGAAAATACGGGGGATTATGATGAAGGCGAAGATGGGGCGGCGAAGATGCGGAGGGCGCGGTGTGACGAAACGCCCTTTGATACCAGAGACTACTGGTCGATTTCTTGGTCACCCCCATACACTGCTCCGTGGTGGCACTGAAAATCTGAAGGCACGACGCCCCGTTTGCCGGCGCCCCCCCCCCGCGAGAATACCAAAGCCTAGGTCGCAGATCACACGCAGGTTTTCCGAAGCAGTGGCACTGGGCACCGTGACGTACAGGTGCAACCAAGAACTGTCAAGGTCGCCGGCGCTTCAGGAGCAGAGCAGAAGGCGACCTCCTCGGTCACGAAACTGCGATGGGCCTCCTCTGGAGCGCACCACAGTGGCGACGGCTGCGCGTGTGGAACCACCCAGGGAAGCGAGGTCTAGCTTAGATCCCCGCAGGACGTCACTCCGCTGTACCTCCCAGGTCGCGAAAATGGCGACAGTTGCGCAGTTGGCATCACCCAATGAACCGAGGTCTACTTAGGGTCGATTGAAGTCGTCGATCCGCTAGACCTCCCAGGAGCTCACAAAAATGGCGACAGTTGCAATACCCAGTGCGGCAAGGTCTAGTCGGGATCCCTTTAAGGCGTCGCACCTAGGACCTCCCAAGAGCTTGCGAAAGTGGCGACAATGGCACATCTGGCAGCGACCAGTAAGTATGTTTACTGCGACGAAAGCCCTCACGATGACCTCGACTGAAGGAAAAAGGGGTTAGGAGCCCCGTCGGCGCAAACACAGATGTGACGAGCACCGCCGTACCTCATACCCACAATTGCTACATGTGAAGAGCACCACCGTACCTGTGAATCTACATAGCGGTAGGAGGCCCCAACGGCAAAAGAATACCCGAGACGAACACCGACTGTGGTGAGAGGTCCCCGTCGGCGCAAAAATACTTGTGAAGAGCACCACCGTATGCATGAACCAACATTGCGGTGAGAGGTCCCCGCCAGGTCTGCTGCGGCGAGGTCTGCTGATGTCCCGTTTAGACGTCGCTCTGGTGGACCTGCCAGGAGCTCGCGAACGTAGCGACAGGTGCACATTTGGCAGTGCCCAGGGCGGCGAGGTCTAGTTGGGGTCAATATTAGGCGTCGCTTCGCCTTACCTCCAAGGAGCTCACGAAACTGTGCATAGCAGGCAGCCCCCAGGGAAGCCAGACAGGAGGCGGTTAGGAGACAGGAGGCAGGAAGAGGAAGGAGGCGGGAGAGGGACGGAGGCCAGCAGTGCTCTACCCAAAACGAAGACCCAACACGGAAGGGCAGGAAAGCGAATTGTGACGCTTGCGCTGGGGCCGTTCCGCGGATGCGCCCGGGGAGATGCCCGCTGGGGGACGTATCGCCACCAGCCACCTTTCAGAGAAGAAGTCACGACCCCATCAGGCAGGGGACGCGCTTCGAGAGGCTCGAGGAGGCCACAGGACGTGCCGAACTCGTCCAGGAGCGCTGAGGAGAACCAGGCCCGCGGGCCACTGCTCCGAGCACATAAACTCGCGAGCTCTCCTCCTCCTCCCTCCTCCTCCTCCCTCCTCCTCCTCCTCCTCCTCCTCCTCCTCCTAATCCTCCTTCTCCTCCTCCTCCTCCTCCTCCTCCTCCTCCTCCTCCTCCTCCTGGTCATGGACGTCATCATCATCATCAGCAGCATCATTATCAGCAGCATCAGCGTCAGCATCATCATCATCATCATCATCAGCATCATCATCATCATAATCATCATCATCATGATCATCATCATCCTCGTCATCATCATCATCATCATCATCATCGTCGTCATCATCATCGTCATCATCATCATCATAATCATCATCATCATCATCATCCTCATCAGCATCACCATCCTCACCACGATCAGCATCATCATCATCGTCGTCAGCAGCAGCAGCATCACCATCAGCATAATCGTCATCCTCATCAGCAGCAGTATTATCATCGTGATAAGCAGCATTATCATTATAATCAGCATCATGCTCACAATCACCATCCTCATCCTCATCCTCATCTGCATCATCAACAGCATCATCAACATCGTCAGCAGCATCATCAGCAGCAGTCGCAGCATCCTCATCATCAGCATCCTCATTATCATCCGCATCAGCATCATCGGAAACAGCATCATCACCACCACCATCATCAGCAACAGAAGCAGCATCATCATCATCCGCATAATCCTGATCCTCCTCCTCGTCCTCATCATCCCTGTGATGGACGGCATCATCATCAGCATCATCATCATCATCAGCACCATTAGCATCATCATCAGCAGCAGCATCGTCATCAGCAGCAGCAGCAACATCAGCACCATCAACATCATCATCAGCAGCATCATCACACTCAGCATCATCATCAACAGCGTCAGCAGCATCAGAATCATCATCTGAATGACCAGCATTAGCATAAGCCGCAGCAACAGCAGCATCAGCATCAGCCTCATCATCAGCAGTCGCAGCATCCTCAGCATCAGCATGATCATCATCCACATCAGAATCATCATCAGAATCAACATCGTCACCAACACCACCACCACCAGCATCATCAACAGCATCATCTTCATCATCAGCAGTCGCAGCATCCTCATCATCAGCGTCATCATTATCATCAGCAGCAGCACCATCATCCTCATAATCCTCCTCCTCCGCATCCTCCTCAATCTCCTCCGCCTCCTCATCAGCATCATCATGGTCCTCGTCGTAGTGGCAGTCGTCGTCTTCGTCAGCATCACCATCATCGTCGTCATCATCCTCATTACCCGCCTCCGCTAAGGGAAGTCGTTGAATCCGACCGTACAAGGGTATGACGCACTGCCCAGGCACAGCACTGCCCAGGCAACGCAGGTCACATTGGACGAAGAGCGACGCTCACCTCGTGGTGGTGCAGAACTGGCGGGACGACGGCGACCCCAGGAGGATGGGGGGAGGAGGGGGGGACGAGAAGTGAGCAACGAGCAATACGCGGTGAGTCAAGGCGAGTTCCCCACAGAACTAGCCTCGACCTCTACGCGACCCACCTAGTGTGGGTATCAGGCAGTCTCCCCGCACTAGCGGGAGAGGACGAGGAGGACAAGGAGACAGGGCTCTGTTATTCTACGAATGGGCC